GGTGTCTTATGGTTTTGGTTACAATTGTAAATGAGATCGACTCCCTAATTTCTCTTTCTTCTGTCTTGTTGGTGTATAGAAATGCAACTGATTTTGTTGCATTGATTTTATATCCTGCCACTTTGATGAATTCCTGTGTGAGTTCTACCACCATTTCTTTTTTTTTGTTTGCATCAGTAAAGACATTAGGAAGCTCTTAGGTATTAGCAGTTCTCCCTGTGGTGTCAAATGAGAGCCTGATTTTTATACATGGCTTCTGTTTGGCAGTAGCCCAACTCATACTAAAAGTAATTTGGAGGTAGCAAGTGGAAGAGATAGTAATTAAAATTATGCTGGATTTTTGGTTTTGGTTTTATTTTATTAAGTCAATAAAATGGAATTCTGTATGGTAGTTAATTTTATTCTGAAGATAATTAGTTTTTGCCTATTTCTTACCGGAGAAATTTGCCAGCTCCCCCCCCATTCCCTTCATTGTTTCCAGTATCAGCCACATCAGTCGTTAAGTGTCATGGGAAAGATCTAACTACTGCTTTTTCAACATGGATTACAGCTAAACTATTTTCTTTCTCTGAGGTTAATTAGTAGGAGTGCTAAAGATGTGTTTTGACCTTTTATCATTTCTTTGTTTTATAAGCAAACAGTATTTTTTAATACAGATTTATTATTTTTAAATCACCTCTTACCCCACAGGACACATCTGTTTTCACATCAAAATATTATGAAATATTATATTCCAAAGCTTTTTAATACATGTAAACTTTATATAATAAAAATGTATCATTCTAGTAGTAGTAGTAATAACAACTGTCATCTACTGAACATTTATTACTTGTGAGGCACAATTTTAACATCTGCATTTTCCCAACAACCCTGTCAGGTAGGATTTAATATTTTCTTAACGTCGTAAGTGGGAAAGCTGAGTTGCTGAGAAATTGAACAACTTGCCCAGAGTCACCTAGCTAATAAGGGGCAGGTACAGATTTGAAACCAAGGCAGTCTGATTCTAGTTTGTAGGCTCTTGTTACTATTCCCTTAGCAATATATATCATGAACAGCTTCCATGTGAATAAATATGCATCACTAGCGTTATCTTGATAGCTGCAGGGGATTCCATTTTAGGGGCAAGATAGTCAATATAACCAATCTCCCACCTAGGTTGTTTCTGATTTTTCTGTGATACAAACATTGCTGTGATAAACATACCACTCTCTACTCTTCTCATGCCGGTCTTGTTCTTTCCTTAGATTACATTCCTGTGAATAGAATTTTTGGATCACATTGTTTGAGACTTTTATACAAATTTTCAAATTGTCCTTCAGGAAGATTTTTTGAGCACTTCCATCAGAGTGTAAACTTCCTGATGTCACAAGTAATGATTCATAGTAAATTTTTGTCTCTTTGACACAGAGATAATTGTATTTATTGTTTTATAAGGTTAAACTTGTTTTCCTAGTTATTGACATTTATATTTCTTAATTGGCGAATTATCTGTTCTTATCCTGTTTTATTTTATTTAATTTTTTTGGTGAGGGTGTATCTTTTTGTAAGTTTTTTTGTTTTTTCATTTTTTTTTTTAATTTGAGAGAAAGCAAAACACAAATAGGGAGAGGGTGGGAGAGGGCAGAGGGAGAAGCAGATTCCCTGCTGAGCAGAAAGCTTGCCTTGGGGCTCCATCCCAGGATTCTGGGATCATGACCTGAGCCGAAGGCAGACGCTTAACCAGCTGAGCTACCCAGGCACCCCGGGTGTATCATTTTTATTAAGAATACACTGTCGTATACATAAAGGATACCAAGTTTTTGTCATATATGATCAGATATTTTCCTCCAGAAATTTCACATACAGATAAGTTGATTTTTTACATGTGAAAGTCTTGAATAATATAATAAAGAGGTTTTAATAAAAAGAGGCTCAGAAAATATATGACCTAATCTTTGCAAAAACAATTCAAGATGCCTTTCAGTCATTGATAAATGATAGAAAATTAAGAGCTTACAAATAGGGAAGTCAATAAGGGATTATTTTTAAAAGCTGTGTTTGTTATTCCTTGAGTTCACTCCAAGAAATGCTTTATTTTCACGTGAACTAGAGACCACTTTTGCTTTTCATCTGCAAAAGTATCTTTATTAAGACATTTTTCTTTATAAATGAATTCATAGAAAAAAAATCTCATTTCCAGAAATTTGACCTACACCCCACAACTGCCCCCAATGATGGATTTTTTTTTTTTTTTTTAAGATTTCATCTATTTGACAGAGAGAGAGAGATCACAAGTAGGCAGAGAGGCAGGCAGAGAGAGAGTCGGAAGCAGGCTCCCCGCCCAGCAGAGAGCCCGATGTGGGGCTCGATCCCAGGACCCTGAGATCATGACCTGAGCCGAAGGCAGAGGATTAACCCACTGAGCCACCCAGGTGCCCCCCAATGATGGATTTTTAAAACGGATTATAATCATGGGACATGATTCTCTACCAACGGAGAGAATATTTTGTAACACTCTTTTGATACTTTTTAATGGCTGTCAAAGAGAAGATGGAGTCTCTAGAAATTAATTTAATTAAAAAATTTCCCTCCAGATTTAAAGAAATTTCATTTAAATTGTATGCTAAGTCTAATGCTTCAGAACTGTCTAGGACTTTGTATGATTTTAAATAACTTCATTTACAAAGGAATTTATTCTAAAAAAAAAAAATTATGTTCAGTGAAGACAAAGGCTTCCCCCACCCCTGCCCCGTCCATTTCTTTTTTGGCTTCATAGAGGAAAATGAGAAATGCTATTTTGGGGACAAGATTCCCAACAGAAGAGAATCCTTTGGCAGCAAGAATAAACAGCTTTGGCAGAAAAGCACCCTCCAAAGGAAAAGGACTTTGGCTTGTTCAGACTAGGGAGTGGTGATGAGCCCCAAGACAAAAAGGATATCCCTGGTACAGGGGCTGGGTCAGTACCAGGCTGTTTGGGTGGAGACTCTACTGTTACAAAAGCTCCTTAGAGTGGCTTCATAAAACATTGATGTTTTGAGATGTACGGCTTCTCCAGTCGTCTAGGGAGGATCAGTTACATTCCAAGGAAGTGATTCTATTTTACTCAGGCCCACATTGGTCCCTTTGGCCTTTGATACAATACTGATAGTAGTAGTAGTAATGATAATAAATAAAATACAAATCCTACAAACCTGGGTTATTGACCCTTTTCCCTTCATTTTCCAGAAAATAAATCCCACATCTCCAAAAGTGGATTAATGATTAATTTGAAGGAAAGTCTCATCTTTAATTTTAAAATGCTTTGAAATCCTTTTATGGTTGCTGTACATACAGAAAACACTTTTTTACCCATTATATTTCTGGGGTGAGTATGGATGTGTGTATGCATACTCACATATTTAGCTTACATTTTCAAGGTGATGTTTTCAGTAGAGGAAATTGCTCGTTGTTTGAATAAATACACTTGAGAAGATGAATAACAAGCCAGCCATTCCATCCACATGTAATTCCACTTGCAATTGTGTGTGGCTTTGCTGATCTGGTTTGGTTGGATATGATATTCATGAAGGTCTAGTGAGGCAGTTAGAAAACTCAGCTACTTGACTCAAACACTGAGCATCTGTTTCCTTTGATGCCAGGTTGCTGGTGGTAGAAATAGTGGGTGGAATGGTTTCAGAGATCTCCATACGCTTTCTTCCAGGGACAGAGAAAATAGAACTGCCCCAATGCAAAGTCTCTTTTCTCACTTATTCAATCAACAAATTTTTACTGAGTATCTACTATATGCGACACAGATTTGTTTTCTGTGCTATTCCTTTGTCACAATCCACTCCTTGCCAAAGTCTTCAATTTCCCCTCCCTTTGCACAATCCCAGCAGACACACAGGGTCGTTTTGCTACCTAAAAGGTTTGGATCTTTCCCACATGGAAAATCAAGTCCTGTATCCCTTCCCTTGAAGTCCCTGCTAAGGTGGTGTTTTATTTATAATATCCCCTTTTCTTCTGCAAAAAATAAATAAACCCCAAGATGGAAAAGTATTTTAGAGAAAAAAGAAGAGACTATGGGTGTTTTCTCATATTACTGCATACCTATAAATGTTTTAATGGCTGGGTATTATTCTATTGTATACCTTAACTTAGTTGGTTAACATTTAGTCAAAACAAGGTTCACAATTTGGATTTATTTCCTTAGGGCAAAATACAAAGTTATTGTTTACACACATTTGTAAAACCCTTAATACAAATTGCTAAACCACTTATAGAGAGTTTATAGGAACTTACAGTCCCATTAAAGTTCTGTTTACTGTTCATATAATGGTATCCTTAACCTCACTGAAGACTAAAAATTTTTAAAATCTTCACTGATTGTTTTTAATTTACATTTTTTATTACTAGTGAGATTGGACATTTTTCACATGTTTATTAGACAGTTTTTGTTTCCCTCCCCTGAGCTGTCTGTATATGTCTTTTGTCTATATTTCTATTAAAGTTTTTATAGCCTTCTTATTCACTTGTATGGACTTACTTCATCTGAAGGGTGTTAATATTTTGTCTTTAGTATTTCTTGATCACATTTGGGCAAAAATCCCTCTAATCACATTATTAGAACAGGTAATGTGTTTTGTTCAATGAGATGAGATCAGCTTTATATCATTTTATGTAGGAGGTGGAATTCAATGTCTAAAAATCAATACACACTTTAGAGCATAGTAAGGACAGCATCTTTTCTAGAAACTTCTATCAAAGGGAGAATGTATAAGAGTTAAATTATGAGGGGCCTTAGTCTTATCGATAGGCCCATTTGTATTCTTAACTGCATTTGACGTGTGGCCCCTGTGCTATGCTTATTACAAAATTATGAAATCTGTGCCCAGACTAGCATCTTGACACAGGTAATGAGCTACTTTGGAATTTACTGGATTCCAGATAAAGTTCTAGTCATTCTTCATTCCCATACCTGTTTCCCATACATCTAAGAGGCCCTGAATAGCAGTCCTCATATGTTCTCCTTTTTCTTTTAGACAGTTCTTCCTCAGTCCAGGAAGATGAAGAGGTAGAGATGGAGGCCATCAGCTGGCAGGCCAGTAGTCTAGCCATGAATGGACATCCTGCCTCTCCAGTAACCTCTGCTCGTTTCCCCAGCTGGGTCACTTTTGATGACAATGAGGTCAGCTGCCCTTTGCCACCAGTCACCTCTCCCCTGAAGCCAAACCCACCACCTATTGCATCTGTGACCCCAGATGCACCTCATCACTCAGCTGGGTCATTTAAGAAGAGGGAACGTCCCAAGAGCACTTTGATGAACTTTTCCAAAGTTCAGAAACTGGACATTTCATCCTTAAACCATCCGCCTCCCGTAACGGAGGCTCCACCTTGGAGGGCAACCAATCCTTTCCTGAATGAGACTCTGCAGGATGTCCAACCCTCCCCTATCAACCCTTTCACTGCTTTCTTTGAGGAGCAGGAGAGGCGCTCCCAAAACAATTCCGTTTCCAGTGCCACAGGCAAGAGCCAAAGGGATTCTCTCATTGCCGTCTACCAGGATGCCATCTGTTTTGATGACTCAAGCAAAACCCAGTCCCACTCTGATGCTGTTGAAAAACTCAAGCAACTCCAGATTGATGATCCTGATCGTTCAGGCAGTGCGACGCTACCAGATGATGACCCCATAGCCTGGGTTGAACTAGATGACCACCCACCTGGTTCAGCACTGTCCCAGCCCAGAGATGGGTGGCCAATGATGCTAAGGATCCCTGAGAAGAAAAACATCATGTCGTCTAGGCACTGGGGACCCATCTACATCAAACTAACAGACAGTGGTTACCTGCAGCTGTATTATGAGCAGGGTCTAGAAAAACCATTCCGTGAGTTCAAGCTGGAGATCTGCCATGAAATTTCGGAACCCCGTCTCCAAAACTATGACGAGAATGGCAGGATCCACAGCTTACGAATAGACCGTGTCATCTACAAGGAGAAGAAGAAATACCAGCCCAAACCTGCTGTGGCCCACACAGCAGAGAGGGAACAAGTGATTAAGCTGGGCACCACCAATTACGACGACTTCCTGAGTTTCATCCGTGCCGTTCAGGACCGGCTCATGAATCTGCCGGTGTTGTCAATGGACTTGAGCACAGTTGGCTTGAACTACCTGGAAGAGGAGATTACTGTGGATGTCAAGGATGAATTCTCTGGCATTGTGAGCAAAGGAGACAACCAGATTCTCGAGCACCATGTCTTGACGCGGATCCACATTCTGAGTTTCCTCTCTGGGCTGGCAGAGTGCCGCCTGGGTCTCAACGATGTCCTTATCAAAGGGAACGAGATAGTTTCCCGGCAAGACATCATGCCCACCACCACCACCAAGTGGATCAAGCTCCATCAGTGCCGTTTTCATGGGTGTGTGGATGAGGACGTATTCAGCAGCTCACGGGTTATTCTGTTCAACCCTTTGGATGCCTGCCGCTTTGAGCTCATGCGGTTCAGGACAGTATTTGCAGAGAAGACCTTGCCTTTCACACTCAGGACGGCAGCAAGCATCAATGGGGCGGAGGTGGAGGTGCAGAGCTGGCTCAGGATGTCAGCCGGCTTCTCCTCTAACCGAGACCCTCTCACTCAGGTTCCCTGTGAGAATGTGATGGTTCGATACCCTGTGCCCAGTGAGTGGGTGAAAAACTTCCGCAGGGAAAGTGTCCTGGGGGAAAAGTCTTTAAAAGCCAAAGTGAACCGGGGGGCAAGTTTTGGCTCAGCCAGTATGTCTGGCTCTGAGCCTGTCATGAGAGTAACTCTGGGAACTGCCAAGTATGAACATGCCTTCAACTCCATTGTGTGGAGGATAAACCGACTGCCTGACAAAAACTCAGGTAGGTAGAGGTTTCTCTTCTGTGAAAACTGCCACATGGGTCACACGAGAGCTGGGGTCAGAGTTCCGCATTCTGTTCCCCTATGAAGGCCTGGCTTTTGTTGTGTGACAGAAATATGGTAATGGAGAAGTGAGACCAGAGAAGCAAAAACACTTGAGAAAAAAGTAAGTAACAAACATGAATGGCCCAGTTTACTCCATTTTGTCCTTTATTATCTACTTCTAGAAAACTCTGCGTTCTTCTTCTCATCTGAGCTGCTAAGCAGATTGTGGGGCAACTTAGGAATTTGTATGCTTTTTCTGACTCATTTACGTATTCTCTGTGGTTCCGGAAGCTGTCTATCTCCAGATCCTAGAAAGCCTCTGGTTTTGAAGAGGTAGCTTTCCCGCTGTGCCTTGAGTGTAGGTAGAGGGGTGTAGTTTCTGGCCAGTCATAAACGCAGTACGGGTGAGGAGTCAGACTCATGATGCCAGTCCCCCTGTGCGAGACCCGTGTCAGTCATTACATCTCCAACTCAGAGTTGGGATTTTGAGGATGGGGAAAAGGAGAAGTGGCCTCTGATCAGACTGAAGGTCCAGCCAGGACCAGAAGGTCCAAAAGGGCTGAAATTCTATCAGATACAAAGTAAAGGAAGGCGTGTTTGATTTAAACAAAGAAAGCAAGCTTACCGGCCCTCGCTGCCTTGCTCACAGCTCTCAGGGAGGCTTTTGTGCTTGAGCGAGCGCGGAAGGTGATGACTTTCCTTAGGGGTCCAGGGAATTTAGCGAAATGACAAAACTAGAGAGTAATCCAACAGGCTCGAAGAGTCTTATTTCTTAGAGGAAGTCTGCATGACCCCAATGAGGGGCAGTAAGCCCGCGATCCTATGATCCTTTCAACCACTTCTTGTTTATGGTAAACTTCGCCCATTTGTTAACAGAGGTAGATACGCTAGCCAGGCAAAAAGGACAAGGTTGGGAAGAACTCTACCCTTCTGCAGATAGCCTTCTCCCATTCGCACCCTTCAACCCCGATAGTACGTTTAGAGTCTCCATTTCCTGCTGTGATGTGGCGTGGCTGTGTCATCCCACCCAGAACGGGACGTGACGTGCCTGTAAGAAGACGATCGCGTCACCTCCCCGAGCCGTCCAGGCCCTGCACACACACCGGGGCATTCTGTGTCAGACACTGTAGCCCAGTGCGAAGTGAAGAGACAATTGGACCTCTGTGCTGGAGGCCGGACTTGCCAAACACCCCCTCCCCCACCCTGGTTTCCAAACTGACAGGGTTTTTTTTTTTTAAAAAACAAAGTCTCCCTCTCTGGGCCTGCTTATGCATTTCTCCGGACACCAGCACTGTGTTCTCCTGGTGATAGCACTGTGATTTCCACCTCAGCCACGGGACCTGTCTGAATTGACGGGTCTGAAAGAAAAAGCCCTGAACTCTCCTTCGGCACAGAAGCCCTGGAGAAGAGAAGTGAGGTGGAAGGCGGGGGAGTGACTGTTGAACCTGCTGGGGACTTGACCTCCAAAAGACAAGGCCCCAGGTTTATGTTTATCAGAATGTTTGGCCCTTCAAGTTTGTTAAGCGTGGATTCAGATAATTTCGTTAGGAAAATTACTGAGTCTTCAAGCTGGAAGGGACCTTGGCGATAACTCAGTCAAACCTTTTCACTCTGTAGATGAGAAAATTAGGGACCAGGAGCAACACGACTTATCTGACGTCACGAAGCCACATCCAGGGGTCTTTTCTTAATACCCCAGCTGCCTCTTGGTCGAGGACACAGTAGACACAAATGTGAAAGTATTTCTTCTAAGAGAAGAGAGGTTCGTGGTTTTCTCAGTGTGTGCACATCTATCTCGTTTGTTTCAAAGTTCTTGCTCTCAAATATTTAACAGTTATGGTATGAGAGGGTTTTGGTGATAAGCAGCAAAGACAACCAAGAAAAAAAGATTGTTGGAGGGTAGCTTGGAGAACTGAAGGAAAGCTTGGAACAGTTGAGCCCACAGGCTTAGAAAGGACGGCTCTGGAAAGCAGAACTGGGAGGCGTCTCCTCAGGCTGCAGCCGTTGGAATCAATCATCACAGCCACTTTCTGTCCCTGCGTCACTTGGCTCAGCAGTCAAGGGGAGGATAGACATTTACACTGGCATGACATGCAGTGCTGGGGAAGATTATTTCCCAAAGCAAAGGGGAGGGGAAGGACTATGACCAGAAGGCGGGGGGGGGGGGGTGGTTGCAGGACAAGGGACAAGGGAAAATATAGGTCTTCAGCAAACACCTGACTTAATGCTTCCCAGCAGGTTAGTGTTCAGTAGGCTCAAGGCCAAGGAAATGCAGATGATGTATTGCAAATGTATTTCCTGATTACTGGAACCTTTATTTGTGAAAGATTTTTGAAATACAGGACAGTCTAAGGATATTTGGGGATGTTTCTCCCTTAAGCTATTCCCCCATCACTGCTTTTGCTATTATATCATGGTTACATGTTATTTTATTTTATTAAAGAGTTTATTTATTTTTCAGAGAGAGGGTGAAAAAGAGAGCGTAAGCAGGGAGAGTGGCAGGCAGAAGAAGAAGCAGACTCCCTGCTGAACAGGGAACCTGATGCGGGGGCCACGATCCCAGGACCCTGGGACACCTGACCTGAGCCGAAGGCAAGGCGCCTAACTGAGCCACCCTGGCATCCTGGTTGTACATTTTTAGTAACAACCCTCATCCACACACCCAAAAAGGGCTTCTTCTTCTACTCCTGGCCAATGGTATATTTCTGGATAGGTTCCAGAAATTGGTAAGACCCTTTTCTGGAAACCTGAGAGGTACAGGATCTGAATTTCAGTGGGACAGCGGGTTCTTAGCGTTGCCGGCACTCCGGGTGAACAGCTCCTGCTCCCCCATCCGGTGTGCCCTCTGTTAGTTGTCATCCCTTTTCTGAGCTCATCTTGGTCTTCATTCAGCCTTGGATGGTACATTTTACAGGTGATTTTTTCATAATTCTCACACCTCCTTTAGCAGAGAAGGAGACCAGAACCTCTACATGCCTGCAGCCGGCAGGGCTCTCAGACCATAGGCAGCCCGGGACCACGGGTCAGCACCCCTGACTTGCTGTAGCCACAGCGGGCTTCTCCCAGTCCTGCTACCAAACGGTTAACAAGCTGCCGTTGGAGTCCAACATGGTTTAAACGGGCAGGTCCAGCCCAGCCTTGTGCATGTTCGGCCGCCCCTGCCTTCCCACCGGGCTCTTAAGGACCCCTTTTGCCCTGATCCCAAGAGCTTTTCTAAGTCTTAGAAGGCGGCAGAACAAGGCCTACTGCTTGCCCAAGTTATCCGCCTGGAAACAAAACATGCTGTCTTGCATAGGTAGCTTTCTTTGCTGGAACTCCAGTTCTCTAATATTAGATCGAGAGAAAACAATTTCAATAGAATTTGCCTTTTATGGAAAATAGAAATCTGAATTTTAATGTTAAATTTTCTCAACTTCATCAAGGAAGATGACAAAATGCGTGGGCTCGCATAGTTCATTACCATAAATTAGACGACACTAGCTCTCAGAATTGCGTTTTCCTACCTGTTCACCAGCCCTACACATCTGTTGGTTGATGCTGGGAATCATGAAAGAATGCCACATTCATAGAGTTTGCTGTGAATGTACTTTGGAGGGTTAAGCGGAGAGGTCAGCTTTGTGCAAAGTAATGATTCCTCATTATTCCAACACTGTGCACATAAGGACAATTAGATAAAACTGTTCAAGTCGCCTTTGATTAAAAGTAAGAAACTCCTCAATGTAATTTGTAGTGATCTAAATCCATAGCAATACACAGAGAGTAGTTTAGGACATAATTCAACGTCAGATCTGAGTTTTATTCCTAGTGCTGCATTTTAGTAGCTTTGTGACCTCAGGCGATTTACTTAAACCTCTCAAAGAAATCTTAACTTCCTCATTTACAGAAGAGGGTTATTAATACCTAACTCATTAAGAAAGAAATTAGATAATGCCTTTAAGTGTTTAGGACAATCTCTGGCCTGTAATAAATGTAGCAGATAGCTATGTAATTACAACTGTAATTAAAAAAAAAAAACAGGGATTCATTTTTAGGTAATGTAATTTTTACTATTATGTGTATCCAATTTAAAATTTCTTTCCTAGAAACCAGTGCAAATTTCTCAGTTTTCCAGAGTTTTACTCTTTAGAATTAACCACTGAACTATGTTATTTGTCAAGTAGAGCAAAACATGTACTTCACTCCATAATGTTTTCCTTAGAGAGTGGGTGTATATGTCCTCACTCACTGAGATTAGAAAGTCCTGCCCAGATCAATAAAGAAAATTGCAATTGTTTATTTGGGGAAACTCCTTTAACTAAGGGCAGTTGGTATTACATAATGAAGCCAAAGCCATGTCACGTTGTTTATCCATGGCAAGTTGCTGTACAGAAGTTCCTACAGCTCACTTCACTCATGTCACCCTGCAAACCTGGTTTTGGGGTTGGGGGCTCTGTGGGGGGCTGTGACTCAGACGGAGTGGTTAAAACACCTCCAGGTTAGAGTGCTTGGGTTCAGTCCTCAGTCCGCCACTTTCCAGCTTTGACCTTGGCTCGTTCACTTTCCCTCCCAAAGCTTTTGTGGCCTCATCTGTAGAACGGAAAGACTGTGATCTCAAGGGATTGTTGCAAAGATGCAGGGAGAGGGTGTGCGGGCAGCATTTGAGATACTAGAGTGCTCAGCAAACCATCCTTTCAGAGGTTATAGCCACAGAACTGATCTGTATTTTCACGCACATATCTGAAAACAGCCCTCAAATGGAAAACCTTAAGTTTTCCATCCAAGTACAGTAGAACTAGCCATAGATGTATAGAATTAGAGAACAGCCAGGAACTCTGCCTGGCATTGTCTAGCCCACCCTTTACCACCCATGTCCCATTTCCCCATTTTCCAAGTCAGGATTCGAGGCGAGGGAGAACAAAGGACTTGGGTGCAGGATCTCTACCACTTCGGAGGAGAGCTGGGAGTCACACGCAGTGTCCTGTTAGTCTGCGTCCTACCCAGTGCATCATGTCCATCCTTCATGTGTCTGTACTGTTTCTAAGGGCCTTGTCATTTACAGATGCCATTACCCACACAAACGTGCCAAAGCATTTTTTGTAAAAAGACGAGATGCTGTTGAGAAAATTCGTCTTTCAAAGGGAATTGATTCTTTGGTTCCATGTGGCTGTCATTGATGTTTTATTCGTTGCTAAGTGCTGCTCCCTTTTATTCCTTTCTGCCAATCTACGGATCTACGCCTTTATTTCTGGTATTCATGCTGTGTTCCCATATCACCCTGACCTCAGCGGGCAGAGTGACCCGTTTTTCAGGCTGTGGGTTTTATTGCTAGGATAAAGGCCACTGTAATCAGATAGTTCTAGCAAAGGGTCTGAGGCACAGGCACTGTGATTTCCGCGGAAGGAAATGCTCAGCCCTGGACCCCCGGAAAGACTGCCCCATGCGGAGCCGGGAGGCGGTCTTCAAGGCTTTTTTGTTGTTGAGGTGCTTCTGTGGGCCTCTCCTTCCATGGCTCTCCAAAGAACTTAATGTCTGGATTTTTTCCCTTTCATAGCTTCTGGTCACCCTCACTGTTTCTTCTGCCACCTTGAACTTGGCTCTGACCGGGAAGTGCCTTCCAGATTTGCCAGTCACGTGAATGTGGAGTTCAGCATGCCCACAACTTCTGCCTCCAAAGCCGCTGTAAGATCCATCTCCGTGGAAGACAAGACTGACGTCAGGAAGTGGGTCAATTATTCCGCACACTACAGCTACAAGGTAGCCTCGGGAGGCATCTGGCTAATGTGTCCAAGACCATTTGTTTATCCCTCCACCATCCCCCCCTCCCCACCCTCCATGCCCCATCTTGTTCCTTTTAGCGGTGCCTGCCCTGGATGCAATGTGTTCTCTTACTGCCTTAGAGACAGGTGTGCCACACGCGGCTGTGGGTGAGTCTGCTGTGATTTGAATGACTAATCTCTAGTGAGCAAGAGAAAGGTTGGGAAAAAATAAGAGGTGGACGAAAGAGGAGAGTATAATGTCTTTCAGTCATCATGAACAACATCAAAAGAGTCATGGGGGCGCGCCTGGGTGGCTCAGTTGGTTAAGCGGCTGCCTTCGGCTCAGGTCATGATTCTGGGGTCCTGGGATCGAGCCCCACATTGGGCTCCCTGCTTAGCAGAGAGTCTGCTTCTCTCTCTCCCGCTGCCTGCTGCTCTGCTTACTTGTGCTATCTGTCAAATAAATAAATAAAATCTTAAAAAAAAAAAAGTCATGGGGTAAAGGGATTATTATTAATCTATAACATTCTGTATTATTAATTGTACACTATATATAATATGAATATTATGAATGAGTAGATATATGAATATTATGAATGAGTATGTCATAATATCATATTCTCATTCATAATACATGTTGCAGAAGTTGTGAACTTGGAAGGTGGAGGAGAATTCAGGAAAGTGCTAACCCAAAGTATGTGTTTCGGCTTCAGAGTTGATGATGTAGATCCGTGTAAAATCGGGACACATATGACCTGGTCACAGGGCTATAGCAGGACAATATTCAGAAGCCAAGCAAGCTTTTGTAACAGGATCCGGGCTGTGGGAGGAGGAAACAAAATTGGAGAGTTCAGACATGGTCATTCTGTCTTGAGGTGTTAGAAATTCAATAGCAGATTAAATGTCAAAGACAGAAAGTGGGGGTTACTGAAGAAGTATTTTGCAAAGTGGTTTAATAATTTTTTATTCTTAATATATCCTTAGATTTTTATGGTTTGTTTTTCTGTAAATGTTTCCTTAGTTGTGTCATCTACAATCTTAAACTACCAAAAAGAACAAATACTCCATCTTGTGGCCAAAAAAAAAATAGCATTTCATCAAGCGTGGGCCTAATCCACTGCTTGAATTGTTTCCTTTGTCATAAATATCCAAAGTGGTAAAGAGAGGAGCAGCTTTAACTGTGAAACTCTCTTACTTGATGTATTTCTTTTCTGACTTGTCAAAGGCTTCAGTGTGTGTCTCTTTCAAGGCAAGATGAATTTATTAATCCATTTAGTTACAGCTACCATATTTTCCTGAAAACACAGGTAGAACCGTAAACAAGACAATACTTAACCAGTTTGGAGACTTTGGGTTTTTTTGTTTGGTTTTGTTTTTTTGTTTTTAGATTTTATTTATTTATTTGACAGAGAGCGATCACAAGTAGGCAGAGAGGCAGGCAGAGACAGAGGGGGGAAGCAGGCTCCCTGCTGAGCAGAAAGGCGACGCAGGGCTCGATCCCAGGACCAGTTTGGAGACTTTGTAAAGCCATAAAGTAATAGAGAGTATAAACAGATGGCTGGAGAGGAATCCATTCATTTGATAAACCTTTATGCTTGCCCAGCGCATGCCTGCATTATGGGGATACAGTAGTCAACGAGGGCCTGCTCCTGTCCCATGGAGCCTGTGGAATGCTGGAGCCAGGTTCATGTACCAGGGACAGTGGAGATATGGATAGGAGGAGCACCTGATGACTTGAGGACAGCTTCACAGAAGAGGTGACCTTTGAGCAGCGTGCAAGGCAAAGAATAAAAATTTTCCAGGTGGACTGTGAAGAAGAGGGAATTCCAGACCCAGCAAAAAGCATGTGCCAAGAGAGAACCGTGCCATCCTCCAGGCCAGAGTAGCTCCAGTGTGGCCAAAGCTCAAAATAGTGACAAAATTACAGGGAATCTCCTGGTGAGGTATTCTCTTTGGGATTACTTCTTATTGGGATGGTTTTTCTCCTTTCTGATATTTCTTTCCAACTTCTACTCTCGACAGGTGGAAATTGAGCAGAAAAAGAGTTTGAAGCCAGATTTTGAAGGAGATGAAATGGAAAATCCCAAGGAGTGTGGGGTCCAGTGATGAAGCCCTTTTGCAGGGGGGCCTGACCCAAGCATCATGACAGGATGTCTTCCTGAGCAGCTGGAGTTCAAGGCAGTACCTGCCATGGCTACTCCTTACTGGAACAGTATGTTGGACTTTTCCTGTTTGTGGTTACCTGTAATCTCACAGGAAACCTTGAGGTGACTGCTTTGGAGAGACTCTGATATGCCTGAAGCAGGTGGTTTCCCTGACTTCTGGAGCTTGTTGTCTAATTAAGCCTCCTTCTCTTTGCTCTGTTGATCTCGTAGCTCTTGAGTGTGGCTTGTTGTGACTACTGGAGTTAGGAAGAGAACCTTCCACATCAGTGTTGGCAGGATTTCCTTCTGGTGTTCATCTGTCACTTCCATGATTTTCTAGAAAACACAGTCTTGAGAATCCCCCTCTGTCATGCCCTCTAGAAAAGGTTCAGAAGAGGTACAAAACATATTTCCTTTTTGGGTCTACTAGGCCTTTGGTACATGTCTCTATTCTTGCAATGTTAATGCTATGCAACAGAAGTTTTCGAGACATTTCCCTCCTGGTTTGGGATCGTTTTGATGAAAACACTTTTTCCATCTCTCTAGTCCCAGGGTTCACCACCCTGAGTCACAGTAGACAATGGAAAAAGGCACAACAGGATACTTTTTTATTCTGTGATTAGCCCCATATTCGGCAAAGGGTGGCTATGAAAGGGAAAGCAAAATTGAGCTTAGTTTTCTTCATTCTGGGGGAAAAGAGACATTAATTATAAGGTTATATTCAATTCAGGAGACATTTTCAATCTCAATGAATTCCCAAATTCACACTGAAAAACATAGGCCATTTCCGATTCCTGAAACAAATGGATATATGTATATATATATATATATTATACCTCAGGCATTTGTCAGGAGCACTTGGGAGCGCTTTTTATACCTCAAGCCTATAGACAGTTGCATGTCTCTTTGACTCAGACTTTACATGGAATATAAGTGGAAAAGATCATTTTAAGAGCTGTTTTAAAACTGAACTTATATGATCTTTTCCCTAAAATTCAGAGTTCGATAATCAGAGTATTGTAACAGATCTACAAGGCAGAAGTCTCTAGGGTAGAAATGGGGGAAAGCCATATTTTTCTAATGTTGACAATATTAGTCCCAGTCCCAAGAGTGTAGGACACTCAATTTTCTTTCTCTTCATATGGTCCCATTTACATTCTGTACCTCCACTTCTTACTTGTATCTTGATGTTTTCTTACCACACACGGACCTATATCGGCCATCCCAAATGGGACACCTGCCCAACAATTTATAGGTAGGCTCTAAATGCCTGTTTCTCCCATGAAGAATACAGTGAGGGGACAGAAGCATGCTTGTCAGATTTGTCAGATAACACAGAGAAATAAATGATATATCCTGTTTCAACTGGCAGATTTAGGATTAATTTATTCAATGAATATTCATTGAATTATAACTATGTACTGACACTAGAATATAGACATCATCACCATTATTTTAAAATACCTGAACATAAGACTGAAACTAAAAGGATGAAATTCAGTAGACATTAGTAAGAAACTATATTCTAGTTGCTTAAATGCAACCCTCTAAATACAGAGAGGTGGTGGGAAGGGTCCTGAAAAGTCCTGGTTTCATAGCAGTTCACGTCAAAATAGGAGTTCATTGTTGAATCAGGAGTGTATCATGATTATTCACAAAGTCAGTGCGTCAGCCTGTGGTAACAAAAGCCCAGGGAGCCATGCATGCTGCATTGGTCAGTCCACTTCTGGATGGAAGGCTGAGTTCCATTCTGGGTACCATATTTTATGAAAGACATTAATAAATTGTGTCCAGAGGCAGGTGATCAGGGTTGTGAAGGGTCTGATGATATAAGGAGCAGGGGAATAGAATAGGAGAGAACAAAATAATATCGCTGCCTTGAAATTTCTGTTGAGTGTTAATAAAAAGGAGAGGAATTAGACTTACCCTGTGTAATTTCAAAGGGCAAAAATAGGAACAAAGAGGAACTTTCTAGATGACAGATGTTTGCTTCAACATAAAGAATTTTCTAATAAGAGTGGTTCTAAAGAGGAATAGACTTGAGCAGTAAAATTTCCGGTTGTAGCAAATGCCCAAACAAAGGTTAAAATAACCATCAGTCCCAGATGCTATGAGAGGGACATTGGATTTGGGCTGGATGGCTACCAAGATCCCTTCTGCATATAGGTTCATCTCAGTAGTAACAGGACTCTCTAACTCTAGTTGTTTTTTCTTTGATAAGTGGTTTTGTATGCTCTTTGAAATACAGTGGGGCTCCCTGGAGGTCTTTGTCAAGTGAGGCATAGTCCTTCCCCTGTTGTATGAGAGACACATGAGATTCCTCATAAAAACATCAAGGTGGACTGAAGAGCTGGCAAGGTGAAGGTCATTCTGGCACCTTCCTTACTTAGGGTTAGTGCCTGTGCACCCTCTCAAGATCTCTGCCTCACCTGCTAGCATCGCGTGTGTATTGCTTATTGAAACTTTTTCCCCCACCGTAGTTAATTCTCACTGCCTTTGTGCTTTTACCTGGGCTTTTTTTTTTTTTTTTTAAACCAACGCTTGGGAAAATCCCTTCCATGCTATCTACATTCAACAAGCAAATTATTATTAATTAAAAAAAAAAACTATCACCTTGATTTCATCAAATTTGCTTTCCCACTAGTATTTCTGGGAAACTAATTATGGGTAGCATTTAGGGGTTTGGGAAATACAATACTATATATGTTAGGCCTAGTGTTTTGTTAATAGGCTACCTAGAAAACACAGTTAGGAAAATTGCCTTTTTGGTGTGCAAATTCTAAGTTTGCCTCTGGACCTGGATTGTGTTTATGTGTGGTCACAAAAATCCTTGTCTGTGTTAGCAATAATGTGAAATGAAAAGTAAGTTCATTTTACTAATACATAGTATTATTATTAGAACATAAATTAGATGTCACATGATATTAAGAGCTATGTTTTCTTCTGAGTCCAGTGGCTTGCTTTGTGACTTTATTGTAAAAGAGGATAAGAAATGTACTCATTATGATAGGTCAAAGGAGAATGAAGTTAAGATATTTGGGGGGGGGCATTAAAAACCCTCTTTGCCACTCTTATAAACATAATACTAGTTATTTCTTATCAAAGTTTTGCATTTCACTTATATTAAATATTATCAGGACAATTTTTTTTTTTTTCCTACTTGGGTCTTTTCCCGCTCTCAGCATTCCTGCATTATTGGCAGGACTCAGAACTCTTGAGAACTTTTTTAATGTAATGTATTTCTATTTGAAATGGGACTAATTTCTATTCAAATCCAGTGGGTGAGAGCAAGAGTTTATTTCCCTAGAAATCAGTGCCCCCAAGAAATATGATCCATGATGGCAAAGAATGTATCTTGTTCTTTGTTTCCTGTACCTAGGACAAAGCTTGGGAGTATAATAGGTTTCAGCCACTTTAAATCCTTGCTGATAGGACAAACATATATTAATGAAATACAAGGAAGTTATTAGGGGGTGCCTGGCTGGCTCAGTTGATACAGCATGCCGCTCTTGATCTCGGAGTCCTGAGTTCCAGCCCCACGTTGGGTGTAGAGCTTACTTAAAAAAAAAAAAGAGAGAGAGAGAGAGAGAGAGAGAGAGAGAGAGAGAGAGAAATTATTAGGTATTTAGTAAGTGCTGAATGAACACTGACCCTGGAACTCTAATACTTAACCCTTACTTATCATCAGATACTTATATTAAAGCAAGCAAGCATGCTTTATTTCGTGGAAGACTTAATTTTTTTTTTTTATTCCTGCTTCCCCTGTCAACCAATAGCTGTCAGCACTTAACATGCAGTTGAATTTAAACTACAGTTTACTTTACTCATATTGAAAAACATTTTTGTGCCCAAAATACAATAGCACAGATGTTATCCATAGTGAAGATTATTGACTCAGTTTTATTTCTGCAAGCCAGATCTTGATCAGACAGATCTTGCCCATTTGAATAGCCAGCAGGAGAAGAAAGCATGGCCGGTCTTGCTGTGTGAGGTCCTTGTTTTCCCCCAACAGTAAGCACTGACCAACATTACTGGGTACTTCCTTTGTCACCCTATGAAGATGGAGGTCAGAGAGTAAGAATGAAATTTGTGAAATGAAATCATGATTTCACGGCTGCCTTCAGTCTCATTGTAAGATTAGTGGTAGGAAAGCACAGGATGATCTGATTTTTTTTTTTTTTCTTAAAAGCCTTGGGAATATTAAATTAATTTGAGTAGGAAGCACTGCCACCTCGCCTACTTTTAGAATTCTCCCACATTTAGAATTTCTCCCACTTGAGGCTGATAACTTTAACTCTTCTACAAACAGTGATCATGGTTAATTCTAGCATTTCTAGAGTTTAGGTCATGTTAAGAATGCAGTTTACCAAAAAATTTTAACAAAACTGACCCAAAAGATTATACCCACCAAAAAATATCAGCTAGTATAAGCAAATCATCTTTAACACCTTATACCAAGTCCCATCCAAACTATGACCACTCTTTATTCAACATCAGCCGTGGCATTCTCACCAGATTTTAAAGATGTTTCCTAAACATTACCACTATTTAAGTGCCAATTCCCTACAAATCACCATTTCTTCATCATTTTTTAGTTGTGCTATTTGTAAATGAAACTTGCTTTGGATATTGTGACTTGTATTTATGTATTTAAGGAATTAAAGGTGAACAAGATTAGAAAATAAACATATCAGTAATATTTTCCCATGTATTAACTAAAAGAAGGACTATGTAATTTTCACATTTCTTCTAGTGTGCCTTAGCGAATCTGCTTGAGAGTCTAGTTTTTTGTTTTTCTTTTAAGAATTGAGGGGGTGGAGGTAACACAACTCTGAACTTGGACTTCCAGGTCTGTAAAGACAGAAATTATCCATAATAATGTATTTGGTACCTGGACAGAGGAAAACAATAACTGTGTATACTGAAAAGCTATAAAAGAACAGACTCAAAAATTAGAATTTCAGTAAGAAAAGACAAAGTGTAGAGAGGTGACAAATAGAGCACTGGCCACCAAACCTCAAAATACTTGAACTAGAGAGCATCCCTTAAAGGAAGGAGCTCTAGGAAAAATAAAAAGATTATGTGGTGGGGCTAAACAGTAGAATGATTTCAGTTCAAATGTTTATCAAGTGTCTACTCTGGTCCAAGTTCCGTGCAGCCAGCTTCCTTAAAATGAGGTAAGGTCAAAGTCAAGGACACTGAGCATTGTTGATATGAAGTCGTTGGAGGGATTGCCCTTTATCAAGGGAAAATTAGAGTTTCTATGAAGCTTTGAAGGACATAGTCATGGAGACAATCACCATGTGAAGTAACTTGCTGTTTTCACAACTGGACCTCAGTAACCTCAGCTAAAAACTGAAAAAGCTGAACTAATGGTCCCTGCCAGCTCCAGTTTTATGGATTATTTTATAAAAGAGCCTTTGGTGCCATTGTTAATGATACTTCATGTCTGTAGGACTCTTCATGTAGTCTCAAGAACCAAGAACCAATATCAGCTGGCCCATCTTTTTCGTTTTTATGTCTCTATCCTTTACTGTCTGCCAGACGACAAACACAGAAAACTCTGCAGTCCTCTGTTTTGTAGCTGGAGGATCAAAAGGATGGTGGCCATCAGCAAGAACACTGCTCTGTAAGTTCTGCCTGCATCACCCAGCACAACAGGGCTGTGAGTGTGAGGAGGAACAGACCAGACAGGGCTCCAAAATGGGTGTTGGGATTTGGGGATTACTTGAAGCAAACGTAGGTCTAACCCTCCAA